TGTGAGTGTGTGTGTGTGTGTGTGTGTGTGTGTGTGTGTGTGTCTGCATCTGCTTTTCCCTTCACTCATGTTGAATCAGATCAGCCTTTTACAAATGAAGCATTGTGAGTGTGTGTAGCGCTGGGTTGGGGAGCATGGGTGTGTGTGTGTGTGTGTGTGTGTGTGTGTGTGTGTGTGTGTGTGTGTGTGTGTGTGTGTGACCTGTGCTCTGCTCTCCACAGCGGACGTCATGCAGTCTCACGGCCTCATGTTTTCCGAGCACTCGAACCCGTCGTCTCCGGCGGCCATTCCAGCGTTTCGAGGAGCGCGGCGGGCGAGCGAGACCAGCATCGCCAGCCAGGTGTCAGGACTCGCAGACAGCTACACCGCTAGCAACATCGCTAACAGTGAGTCTCACACACACACACACTCAATCACACACTTTCACACACACACTTCAGCAGTTGCACACACATACAGTAATGCAGTGTGTGCGTGTGTGTGTGATGGTGTAGAGGAAACGCAGCTTCACGTCTCGTTGTCAGATCAGTGTGTGAGCCGCTGGAGTTGACGGCGTCCCCCTCCTGTAGAGCTAACGTTACCCTAATTACCCCAGTGAAGCCTTACATGTCTGAACACTGGTGTCTTGAAGAAGATCTAGTCTCATATTATGTGCTGTGGTGACGGCACGGTGGCGCAGTGGTCAGCCCTGTGGCCTCACAGCAAGAGGGTCTCTGGTTTGAGTCTCGGCTGGGTCAGTTGGTGTTTCTGTGTGGAGTTTGCATGTTCTCCCCGTGTTGGTGTGGGTTTCCTCCAGGTGCTCCGGTTTCCCCCACAGTCCAAACACATGCGCTATAGGGGAACTGATCAACTACACTGGCCATAGTGTATGAGTGTGTGTGTGAGAATGAGTGTGTATGGGTGTTTCCCAGTACTGGGTTGCAGCTAGAAGGGCATCCGGTGTGTGTGAGTGAGTGTGTGAGTGTGTGAGTGAGTGAGTGTGTGATTGAGTGAGTGAGTGTGTGAGTGAGTGAGTGTGTGAGTGAGTGTGTGAGTGAATGAGTGTGTGAGTGAGCGAGTGAGTGAGTGAGTGAGTGAATGAGTGAGTGTGTGAGTGAGTATCAGATGCAGATTAAACACACAGAGCAGAATAATCAGCTGTATATGACAGAACATGAGTCAAACATCCTCCAGACCACTGTTCTGTGTGTGTGTGTTTGTGTGTGTGTGTGTGTGTGTGTGTGTGTGTGTGTGTGTGTTTCTCCAGTAGCACGTGCGTGTCAGGTTAGTCTGTCTAGAAAGCTGAGTGTGTTGTCTGAGGTGTGTGTGCGCTACAGTAAGCGCTCCAGCAGGTGTGTGTGTGCGCAGCCGGACACAGCGGATCAGAGCGGAGCGGAGCCGCCACTGGACCTGCAGTCA